GTTGTTTTCTTTTTTCTTTTTCTTTNTTGCGTTTCTTTTTCTTCATTGCTGTGGGGTCAGTTTCAGCCCCTGGGGGACATCGAAGTTGCCTGTGCTGAAGACGTCGATTGTGTTTTCCCCCTTTTCCTTCTTTTTCTTTTGCGTCGTGTGGGTTTCTGTGCGTATGCGTGTGCGTGTTGTTTTTGTTTGTTTATGTTCCTTTCTGCTTTTTTTTTATTGGGCGTGAGTATGCTGGCTGGGGTTGTGTCGTTGCACGAGTCTTCGTGTGTCGAGTTCCAAGTATATATATATATATGTATATATGACCTTTTCTTTCTCCCTCTCTCTCTCTTTTTTTTTTCTGCGTCCCACGTGTTGTATCGCCACTGCCTGCTGTCGCCTTCGGGTGCGGAAGCCGTCGCGCATGAAGTCTTGCGGGGTGTGGCGGCTCAAGTATTTGCGTGCGTCGCGGGTGGCCTACGGCGGCTCGGTGGCCGCGCTGTTGCGCGACTATCTGCAGCAGGGGGCGGAGACGCACGCCGCCAATCTGCCGGCGTCGCAGAAGTACTTCTACACGCAGCGGGGGCAGCGTGACGCGCCGATCTCGCAGAGGCACCAGATGGCTCAGCTGCGGCTCGGCTCCGCGCAGGTGTTGACCTCGACGGCGGGGAACATCGCCAATCACAACGAGGCGCACCCGCTTTACTACTCCCAGACCTCCCCGCGGGCGGCTGGGCTCTGCGTGTCTCTCGTCGTCGCGCTGAATAAACTGCGAATTCGTCGCCTTACGGAGCTTCAGGGCGCGTTGATTCCGACGCTGCTGCGGGGCAAGCACGTCATTGCGCACGCCGAAACGGGAACCGGCAAGAGCTTTGGCATGGCGCTCGCCTGCGCCAATCGAATCATACGGCAGAAGATTAACTACCGTCTCCACACGGTCATCATTGTTCCGACGGAGGAGCTGGCGTTGCAGTACGAAAAGTGGCTGCGTCACTTTGGCGGTGCCACGTCGCAGGTGGTGCAGGTGGCAATCGAGCGGGTTCCGATGGAAACGCAGCTGGCGAGGCTGCACAACATCCAGCCACACGTGCTGGTGGGAACGCCGCAGCGTATTGCCGACATCCTGCGACTCAGTCCCACGATCCTGGGCGAGAAGCTGCGCCGCAAGGTGGACTGCGTCATTCTTGACGAGGCCGATATCATCTTGGCCGCCGAGGTGCGCTTTGGGCGTCAGACAATAAGTGGGATCAGCTTGGTGGATCGTCTGTTCCGCAGTCGCCCAGAGGAGGTGCCGGCGCAGTTGATTGCGGCAAGCGCTACCGTTGACGGCCGCACGGCGCAGGCCCTCAACACTTGGATGCGCAACGACAAGGCGATACGTCTGACGACGAGTTTTGTGGAGCACACAATCCCGCAGACAATTAGCTTCTACTTCTTTGCTGCCTCGCCGCGACACCCACTCCCCAGCTGTTTGGAGCTAATCCTCCGGCTTATATGCAAGCAAGAAAAACATCCGCGTGTTCTTGTCTTTACATCACTTGAAGCAGTGGAGAAGGTGGTTAATTTCTTGAGCACACTCCAGCAGCACTGCCGCGAATTGCGTGAATGGTTGCAAAAGGACTCTAACAGAATCCTTGCGGCACCTTTGCAGTCGCTGGGGAACACAACAGGGGGCCAATGCGGGCCTATTGTGACTGGGTTGCGCGACGTGTATGTGAAGGATGATAGCTCGCTGGAGAAGCTGAACACCGGTAAGTTGTTGGTGGGTGTAGGGAGCCACGAACTGAGCCGCGGAATTCATGTCAGTGGCATCACGCACGTCATCTTGTACGGTGAGTGCCCAGCTGCAGCGGCTTTCGTGCACTGTGCGGGGCGGACTGGTCGAATGGGGGCAGAAGGTCACGTTGTAGTGCTGTATCCGCCGTCCTCGGGCCGTACTGTGCAGCAGGTGTGCCACGCGGCGGAACTGCCGTTTGTGCCCGGGCGGATTGAGCAGGTGGAGGATCTGCTGGGCACCGCGGATTTCGCCTCCGCGGAGGCCCTGGAGGAGTTACAGAAAGCGAATTCGCAGAAGCAGGCAGATGAAGCCGAGGAATACTTTGTCGCCATGGGCCTTTCAAATGCGTGACAAGGTGTGTCTCTCTTTCTCCTTCCTTGTGGCGTTTTTTTTCTTTTCCGAGTTTGCTGTTATTGTTGCTGCGCCCTTGATTTTTGCGCTTCCCCGGTCCGTTTCTTTCGTTGCCGTCCCCGGCCGAAGATTAAACCGCAGCAGCGATAATCTAACGAGGCCTCGCGGTCGCCGTACGCCTCTTTTTTTTTTATTGTTTATTCTTCTTTATTTCTGCGGTTGGGTTTGGTGTCGGCGGTAGGAGGCGAGGGGAGGGGGGGACGCCGTCGTGGCGCTGCCGCCTCTTCATCGCTGCCGCCTGCAGCCTCGCCACGGGAACGCGGCGGCGCACCGGCGTGCTGACGGGTGACATGCCAGCGGCGCGGATGCACGACGCGGGGCACGAGCTGACGGCCTACAGCCCGCAGGCGGCGGTGGGGGTCGACGACCGTGTCGACGCTCTTGTGCCGCCCGCGTACGTCCGGCTGCCGCTGCCGCTGCAGGAAACACACGCCTACCACGCAGCCCCTGCCGCCGCCGAGTTCGACGGCGTTGTCATGCGCCCCAAAGAACGGCTGGAGTTTCTTTTAGAGAGGGAGGAAGTGGACACAAAACGGGCGCTACTGAGTGGGTTGGCTGGCCAACCGGCGCACTCCACCGGGCCGTCATCATTTTCGTCTTCGTCTCCGTCGGCGGCGGCGGCGGCGGCGGCGCCGAATGCTGAGGACGCCGTCGCCTCTCGGGTCCTTGGCTCGCTCTGCGACGCCTCCCACGTGACGTCGTCTCAGCTCATGGGACAGTTAGTCTCGCACGTTCTCTTGAGCCGCACGAGCCCCACGCGGGTGGAGGCGGGGTGCATTGCCACCGTAGACCTAAACCACACTGTGTTGGGGTCCGTCGGCCGCGACGGACCCCTGCCCAGCCGTGACGCTCACGGCGACGACATCTGCCAGTTTCCCGATGAGCGGCGTGGCAGACGCAAGACGAGGCTGGCGAAGCTACGAGAGGCGGCCCTGCGCAGTCGCGCCCTCGCCTACGCGGCACCGCTGCTCTGGGTGCCGGGGTGTGGGCGCTTCCAGGTCACACGGCTCGTATGCCATCATTGTTGTCTGGGGGACCCGGACGCAGAGGCCCTCGCATTTATTTTGCGTAAGCGCCGCGCTGCTGGTTATGTCTGCTTTCTAGAATATGTCGACCTTTCATTCAACAATATCACAGACGACGGCGCTGCGGCACTTAAGAAGGCGATCAAGTACAACAAGCGCATTCAAAAGCTCTTCCTGCTGGGTAACGAGGGCCTGCAGAAGATGGAGATCCTTGAGTCGATACAGAGGCGGCTCAAACGGAATCAGGAGGGGCGAGCCAATTGGACTCTGCTGCAGCACCTGAAGTGGGTGATCAAAGGCTATTAGCGAGTCCTCCACGAGGCGACAAAGAAGGAAGGAATGAAAGCAATGAATCGTAAAAATTGCAAACGCCATGCATTTTTCTTCCTCTTCTGAGCCTGTACGGAGGCAAGTATGCCGCGGACATGTGTGGCTTTATTCTGCACAGCGTCCGTCTGAGCTTTAAAACACCAATCGTCTCATCGTCTGCTATTTCTCCTCTGGGAGGGCACGTAATATTTTTTACCAAACTCTTATTGTGTTTTGTTGCTTATTCCCCTCATGAAATATATACATATATATATATATATATATGTTTCTGTCTCTTTGTTCTTCCTGCTTGCTTCTGCTCCACTGCGAAGTGAGGCTCCTGCGCCTCCCCGGTAGCAGGAGGATGCCAGAGACAGGGGAGGAAGTGACGCCGCCAGAGACGCTCCGGCGTGCTGCTCTGGAGAGCCGCCGTGCCTGCCCTCTTCACCTGATGAAGGCTGAACTGCCCAGAGCTGCGGAGTCGCCGCAGTTGTGTGCATCACCGTCGGTCCCAGAGCTCCTTGACCTTGTGCGTGCCGTACGACTGCAGTACATGCGGTTAGTGGTGGAGATCGCCGAGGCATCTGGAACCACAACCTCAGTGGATGCTCTTGCTACGGCTTCCAAGCAAATTGAGGCCCTGGCGCACCCCATTGCCGAGCTGCAGAGAGGCATTCGAAGCAAAAACTCGCAGTGTGTACGTCTGGCACTGCGTGACCACCTTGCGAATGAGGTGGAGGCGCGGCGGCGGGCACTCTCACGCATGGGGGCAGCACTCAGCATAGCGAGGCAGTGTGGATGATGGCTTCTCGTAAACGAAGAAATAATATTAATAATAATAAAAGTGAGTGTTAACTATCTTTGCCGTCGTCTACGGTGGTAACGCCCTAATCAACTTTGCTTTCACTCCGTGTAAGGTTGCTAAGGAAGCCTATAATGTCTGGGGATCGAGCGACAGAGACGAAGCCGACGACGACGTCGGCCCTGTACTCTCCGACAACCATGGCAGAGGTGGGTGCGTTACACACGGTCAACACCTACCTTGGTACAGGTCTCAGTAATTCTCCGGAGTTTCTGAAGGAACTGCCAGAGGCGTGCAATCGGCATGTAACCGAATTTGACCTTGCTGCCTACGGCAAGGACGAGTTCACTTTGTCAATGGAAAAGAAGGTCATGGCTCGCATGTTTTCTGCCTTTGATGTGACGCAGTTGGGGTACCTGGAGGAAAACAAAATTGAACACATGTGCCGCTACCTGGGCCGTGACATGAGCGAGAGCGACATGAAACAGATGAAGAGTGAGATCAACGCCATCGATGGCCACATCACGTTTGAAAAGTTCTGGAATTGGTGGTGCTTACATCCCGAGGTCTCCGCAAAAAAGGACTGCTTTTCGATGGTGTCGCTTGATTTTGCCGTGCCGTATCACCAGCAGCAGCTCTTGACGAAGGAGGAGGGCGAGATGTATACGCCGAGTTACCGGGTCTTGTACTACTTCAGAGACGTGGAGACGGGGAAGGAGCGGCAGGTGTCGCCTTGGCACGACATTCCACTCTATGTGCGCGACCTGGTGCGCACAAAGCCTGCGTCGCTGCCGATGAACCGCTACAATTTTGTCTGTGAAATCCCCAAGTGGACGCGTGCGAAGTTTGAAATTGCCACAGGGGAGCCGTTTAACCCCATCAAGCAGGACATCAAGAACGGTGTTCCGCGGTTCTACAAGCATGGTGATATGATGTGGAACTACGGAGCGCTGCCGCAGACGTGGGAGAGTACCGAGGTCGTCTTTGAGGGGGGCTACAAAGGCGACAACGACCCGATCGATGCCATTGAGATCGGCATGACGCAGTTCAAGGCGGGGCAGGTGGGGGCCGTGAAGGTGCTTGGGATCCTCGGCATGATTGATGACGAGCAGATGGACTGGAAGGTCATCTGCATCTCGCACAACGACCCCATCTGCCGCTTTTTGAAGGACATCCACGACGTGCCAAAGTTCCTCCCAGGGTGCCTGGACGCCATCCACGAGTGGTTTCGCGTCTACAAAATTTGTCAGGGAGGCGTTGAGAACAAGTTTGTCTTCAACGGGGAGTTCAAGGACAAGACGTTTGCGATGAAGGTAATTGACGAGTCGCATTACATGTGGGGCAACCTTCGCAAGATCAACAAAAAGGAAGAAGTCTGATGAGCAGAGAATCCGGACGGACTTTTGCGAAAAAGTTGAAGAAGTGATAAGATGAGGGAAAGAGTAACCGCCTGCTGTTTGTTTTTTTTTTTTGATTTGGAAGGGATGTTCATTATTATTTTGACCACCTTCCAACCCCGCGTTTCACCGCTCGGCGCGTGTGGGTTGGTGCGTTGTCGTAATACATGGCAAAAATAACAAAAAAAAAGAACAACGAGTAAAAATTGGTGTTAGTGCAGTGAAGCGATGCTTTTTTTTTTGGCTTGCGTCAAGTGGTGTGTTCGTTGTTGTCGTAGTGTTTGTGCTCCGCACCATTATTATTACTGTTATTATTATTTTCTTCTTTTTTTTGACTGACGGGTCTGCCCGCAACCGCCTTTGCCCTGCTGCGCGCCCTCTGCCCTAAACCCACGGCAATAACAGCGAAAGTGCAAAAAGGAAAGAAAAAAAACGAAGAGAGATGGGCCTAGTGTTGAAGGCGCCGGTAAGGCCCCAGGCCCCTTAGAGGGGGAGAGAGAAGAAGGGAGCGAGGTGTGGTGGGCGTAGTAGGGCGTCTCACTTATACACATATATATATATAAACACATATATTTCGTGGTGGGCGTTGTTCGACTTCTGCGTGTGCTGTTCCCTCCGCCACTGGCGCGTCGACGGCTGCCACCACCTTCTTCTTTGCTTGCGTTCTGTCTGTCTGGGCGGGCTGGGGCCGTGTGGCGTCAGGGGGAGTTGAAAACCGCAGCGACGCTCGCGCAAAAAAAAAAAAAAAGAAGGGGAAATAAAAAAAGAGCGAAGTTGTGCAAATGGCCTGCTCAACGCGTTCTCGATGGTTGCGTCTTCTGGCGTTGACCCTTTTGCTCGCTGTTGCGGGGAGCGCGGCGGGGGTGCGGGTGAACCGCCCCGCTTTTCTTACGCATTTGGAACACGTCGGGAGGAAGCTGTCAGTCGGTCCGCCGCGCTGGAGCGGCAGGGAGTACAGTGGGGAGATTCTTCTGGTGCGTGGGGCTGAACTGTGCCCCAACACCACCAGCAGCGGCAACTGGAACGGGGCCATCGTCTTGGCCCTGGACAACAAATGCGACACTGTTGACCAAGCCGTTGTGGCCCAGGGCAAAGGCGCCTTGGGCCTGCTGCTTGCGAGCTCGAATTCTTCCCTACGCGCAGGCGGAGATGTACGTATTCCGGTGGAGGTGTTGCCAAGTAAGGAGTATAACGCCATTGTCGCAACGGTGAATGAAGGAATACCAGTACACGTCTCCATTGGGCGCTCACTAAATGTCCTGCGTTTCGCTGTGTGAAGAGGGCGTTGCGACGTACTCCACCTCTCCTGCCGTCCGTATTGCACCTTGAGCCCCTCTTGTGGACGCTGGCACAACGGCGATGCTTGCATTGCTCTTTGCTAAAAAAAAAAAAAAAAAAACGATCCGCGTCAATTTGTGGATGCTCACTTTTTTTACACACTCCCTCTGCAGCACCGTTCCCTTCCCCTCTTTCCTTCCTGGATCCTGTACGCTTGTTTTGTTTTGTTTTGTTTTGTTTTTCTGAAGGGGATAGGCAGCTTACACGACTGTAAATTCGCATATATAGGCGGGAAGGAGCAAGGGAGGTGACGGCTTCTCACCGGCAGCGAAGCGAGAGGGAGGCGGTGTGGGTGTCTCTTTTCTCTCGGCTCCGATGGTTGTGGAGGCGAACGACTCGCTGCATACAGTTGTGAGTCAACTGGAGCAGCGCATGCTGGAGCTGGAGGCGCAGAGGCGGCAGCTGGAGGCGGTCCTGCGTCAAATGCAGGGGGATGAAAAGCGTCTGCTGGAGCTGAGGCAGAGGCTCGCACAGAGCGAAGAGGCTCACTAACGCCGGGTTGAGCAAGTGAGGTAGAAGAAGTTGACATTTGCCCTCTTTGTTTTTTTTTTTTTGCGCGTCTGTGTCTGCCGGCAGGTTATTGAAGCCGTAGTGGCGGAGGTGCGCCGCCACCACATTGTTGACGGTTGTGGTTTTCTCTTTTCTCCCCTTCAGCTCGCAGTTTTCGCGGCGCGACTCTCCTTCTCCTTTTTGCTTCTTCCTGTTTGGGATCTTTCCCAGCAGGGGGTTGGGAGAGTGTTGCTGCAAGAAGAAGAAAAAATGCGCCGGACGTGGCTGCTGTGCGGGCGGGTGACGCCACTCTCGCAGCCCGCCATCACGCAAGCGCTGCAGTCCACCGCGGGATGGCGCATGGAGGGCAACTTCAACAAGGGCGCGATCTGCCATGATTTTGAGTTCCAGAACTTTAGGCAGGCGATGACCTTCATGAATGCGGTTGCCGCCGATTGCGAGGCGGCGGGGCACCACCCAAGCTGGACGAACACGTACAACAAGCTCCATGTGCGGCTCACGACGCACGACGCCGGGGACCGTGTCACGCAGAAAGATATTGACCTGGCTCGGCGGATGAATGAAGTGTTTGTGAAAATGTCATCTCCCCCGCAGTGAGGTCTGGCAGCGCGGAAGCTGCGGGGAGCCACGCTTTGGCCCTCGTGGCTTTACATGCGCCTTCATCGGTGTAAGGGGGAAAAACGGACCCAAGCGAAAGGCTTCATTACTATATACATATATATATATATATATGTGTGTGTATATGTATATTCAGATGAAGTGGTGGTTTGAATCGCTTCTGTATTTTGCTCCGCCTTTTTTTTCTTCTCTCTCCCCCCCCCTTTTTCCGCCGTGTTTGGTTCCTCCTTTTTTGGTCCCGAGGGCCGCGAGGATACATATATATATATTCTCACACACATACACGCACACACCGTTTTGGCGTCGGTGGCGGCGCGGTTTGATTCCTGGAGCGATGCACTCCGACGATGCGGATGCAAGGGGGAAGAGTGATACCGATGTTGCTTCAATGCCCGAGGGTTCGGCTTCGTGTCAGGCGTTGGAGGAAATTCCTGTTGGGCACGCAGAGCGTCTTCGCCTCATGCTGCGGCAGCATGGGACGACGCCGAGCGCCTTTGACACGCACTCGTTCCTCAAGCGGGTGCTGCTGCAGCCAGAGGGTTTGATCGCCCAACAGATGAACGCATCACTGGATGATGTCTGTGCCCTCTACGGTCATGTTAGTGCTGCTCTTTTGCGCCAAGGCAACTCCCTGCCTTCTCCCACGTCGGTGGCCAGTGCCCTTTCTCGCCGCCACCGCCACTTCATTTCTACCGGGCAGGGGCCTTTGGATGCCGCCTTGAGGGGTGGTGTGGGGTGCGGCTTGATCACGGAGATCACGGGAGCCTCCGGTGCCGGAAAGACAGCGCTTGCGCTTAGCCTTGCGATGCGCGCCGCAAGCCACCCCAAAACGGACAGCAGAAGGGCCCGCACGCTGTGGATCACCACGGACGCTTCTGCGTTCCCAGCGGCGGTGGCGGCGGAGGTGCTGCAGTGGCACCTCGAAGCCCGCAGCTGCAGTAGTGACGGGAGCGGCGAAAACGCGGAGGATGCCCTTCGCAATGTGGCGGTGGCGGTTTATCCCACCCTTGCGCGGCTGCGGGAGTATTTCCCAGCCTTACGAAGCCACTTGGCACGTCAGACGGGGCTGCGGCTTCTGGTGATTGACAACTTCTCCCTTCTGGTGCGACGCAGCTTTCCGGGCGTGGAAGACGAGGTGAAGGAGCGCCACGAGGCCGTGGCAGGACTAATGAGCGTCCTAAAGAGCATCGCAGAGGAGTTTCGCGTGGCCGTTGTGGTCACAACGGTCTCGGGGGAGGAACTCGGCCACGCGTTCCTTCACGCCGTGAACACGCGTCTTCGCTTGGCGCAGTGCCTATTGGAGCCCCGAGGCGCATTGGGGGAACAAGCCGAGGGTCAACCACGGGTGACGCGTGTACTTGAGCTTGTGAAAAGCTCTGCAGCTGCGGGTTGGCGCTTTGAGTGCGAATTTGACGGAATGTGTTTGATGCGAGCACGACCGCTTGACGCCACTGCGGTGCTGCTGTTTGAAGATGCCGCACTGTTCGGCGTGGACCCCATTGGCCATGTGACTATCCCAACATTTGTCTATTGCTGACGTGGTGATCACAGAGGGGAAAGAAATGAAAGAGAGAAAGAAAAAGAGAGTGAACATGCTGCCGAGGGCGTGCTGTCCACTCCCCTTCTGCGGGGGGTGGTGTGCCTGTATCACTACCTGCTCCGCTGCATACGGGGCATCGCGACCCCCTCCCTTCTGCTTCTTGCCTTGCCCGCCCCAAAGGGGGAAAGCAAAGCGGGAGAACGAAAAAGGAAGGAACAGCCAAGCGATAACACACACAGAGAGAGAGAAGAGAACAAGGAGTATGAGCTACGACCGTGCCATTACGGTGTTTAGCCCCGATGGGCACCTCTTTCAGGTCGAGTATGCGCAGGAGGCGGTGCGCAAGGGCCTCTGCGCGGTGGGGGTGCGTGGAAAGGATAGTATCATCTTCGCCGTGGAGAAGAAATCGGTGCAAAAATTGCAGGACAGTCGGACGATTCGCAAAATCTACAAGCTGGACGAGCACATCTACCTTGCCTTTGCCGGACTCTCCGCCGACGCCCGCGTGCTCGTGAACCACGCGCAGCTGGAGTGTCAACGCTTTCGCTTGAACTACGAGGATGCCGTGGACGTTGACCTACTCGTCCGCTACGTGGCCAAGGTGCAGCAGAAGTCGACGCAGTCCAGTGGAAGCCGTCCGTACGGCGTCTCGACGATCATCGGCGGCTTCAACGAGAACGGGCAGCCGCAGCTGTGGAAGACGGATCCCTCCGGAATGAGCTCCGCCTGGCGGGCGGTGGCCATTGGACGCAACGACAAGACGGTGCAGGAGTTCATGGAGAAGAGCTACCAGGACGGCATGACCCGCGACCAGTGCGTGCACTTCACCATTAAGGCCCTCCTGGAGGCGGTGGAGAGTGGGTCGAAGAACATTGAGTTGGTGGTGCTTGAGAACAAGCGGGCAGTGCACATGAGCGACCAGGAGCTGCGCGCGTTCGTGAGCGAGGTAGAGAAGGAGCGGGAGGAGGAGGCGGCCAGGAAGAGGCGTCTCGCTGAAGAGGAATGAAGGAGGGAGAAGTTGGGGAAATGCCAATGACCGACAGAAGGCGTCGGAGAGCGCGGAAGCAAAGAAACAAGCAAAAAAGCAGCCGATGGGAGTTGCTGGGGATAGCGCAGAGCCGAGGCAAACGAGCAAACACGCAGAGAAAACCCATCCCCAACATGAAAAAGAAAAGAAAAAAGAAAAAGAAATAAGAAAAAAGCGAGTGGGCATGCGC